TTTTCTTCATCAGTGCAAAGCTTAATGGCTCAAAATCAAAATAATCAACCTGCACTAAAAGGCAAAAGTGGAACCCTCTTTAAAATACAAGTGTGATGTCAATCCTCTTCATTCTACTCTTAAGTGAGACACAAGGATGCAGCTCCTTTGAAAAAAAATTCACGAGACAAACAGAAACAAACAACAATCGGATTCTGAAAAGCAATGACCTGATTATGGAGTGTCTTATATTTTGATATTGCAGAATCAAAATCAAACTGATACTTAGGGTTGACCAGTAACCTAATCATCGAGTCAGGTGCTGCTCCTAGTTAACTTTCGAAAGTTGTACAACTGTTTTGAGTTGCTTTCGAAATGCTTGATTTTCATTTGCCTTTCGATTGAACCAAACTTTTTAGCTTTAATAACTAAATTATTGAACTTTTATTCGACAAAAAAAATTATGAGAAGATAGCTGTTTTCCCAAAACATTCACGCAATACACATTGTTAAATTTGAAAACATTGTTTGTGTTTTAATCAAAAAACAAAAAAGAGGATTTTTTTGTGTTCATAATGCAACTGAACGAATATCCTGGTTGACCAACAATAATAGTTATAGGATTTCAATAATATAAAAAAAGTTGAAATAAAGTTCCGTATCAATAATTAGGTACTGAAAAAATTATGGTTTTTCTATGACAAATGAATGAGTGTTTTTCCACATATAACAGACTTTAAAAAATGTCAGTAGTATTTCCTTTTTTTCCAATTCATTTTGCTATATTGTTGCAAAATTTGCTTGATCTATGCATTTGCTAGAACTAAACTATTTTCAATTGAAGTGCTTTTCGCTCAATTTTACCTTTTCAATTTTTCTTCAATTATAAGTACATCAATGTTTTTATAGTTTTATAAAGGCAAACTACTGATTTTATGTAGGTAAATCACCAATAAATTTTAAGTAAATCAGTTTTTTCTAAGTATATCGCCATTTGACTTGATATGATTAGTCAATTTTGATTTTTTTAACCAATTTTGATTTTTTCACCAATTCAACCGTTTTTGTCAGAAAGTATTATTTGAAAGAAACACAGCATAGTTCCTACTAAAATTTTAAATGCCTATAATATGAACAAGTTCTGAAAAATTTTATTTGCTTAGATTGGAGAAATTATATTTTTTCAAGGTTTTTTTTTCGTTAACTGCAATATAAAAACAAATTTAATCTTTTTGAGATAAATTAATGTGTTTGTGATTTTAAAAAAAAAATTTAAGCAACGGAAACTCTAAGCATAATTTGCAAGAAGTTCTATAATAGTGGAACTTTTGTAGGATATTTTTTTGGACGCACTAGTCAACCCCCTAAAAAGTCTTTCATGTATGTATTCAATAATTTCAATAAAGTCGACAAATTGCCAATTAGTTTAATTTGCATGGATTGAGAAAATAAATACTATGGAAAGGGCCAGTGTTGCTGCAAAAGATGGTCTCGGTAACCATGAGAAAATCATTTAAAAACATCACAGCATAGCATTATGGTTCAAACATTTGAAGGTAGCTAATAAGATATATGCTTTTGATTCAGAGCATTTTGAGGGTTTGATTACTCGGGGCTCAATTTCTGGTCCTACGTGGCACCGCCGGACGCACACACATCTATAGTAGCCTGACTGTCTGATTAATTTAAAACGAGACTACCTAAGTTGCTCGTTTTTATTTCAAAGCCGATTGTGAAACCCGAATTGCTCGTTTTATTCAAAGCCGATAGTGAAGCCTGGTGACTTATTCCGCAATGCAAAAAAAGTTCTAGATTGAATTGAGTCAAGCTTAGTAAGCCTAATATTTTTAATTACTTAATTTTTAAAACATTGAATTAACCGTTATCGACACCAATAACACTGAATGACAGTAATGAACTTTTAGTTTCTCCCTCGTCTTCTTTCTAATCCATTTTGCTATATTTTTGCAAAATTTGTTTGATCAAAACTTTTTCAAAGCACTAATATTTTTTCAATTGAAGTGCTTTTCGCTCAATTTTACTTTTTATTCAATTTTTTCAATAATTATAAATAAATCAATGTTCTTAGGAAAAACACTGATTTTATCTAAATAAATCACCAACAAATTTAAAAAAAATCAATGTTCTTAGACAAATCACTGATTTTAGAAAATTTAATGAAAACTGACAAAAGCGACAAAGTGATAAGATGTGAGATGGATGCTTTTCACCCAGTGGGTGTATTCGACAAAATTCTTACTTATTTTGATATCATCACTTCGGACAAAAAAAACAAATACGTTTAACAAAACTCAAATTTTTCAAACTCTTATATAAAGGGCAAAATGCCCATTCAATTATCATAAAAATTATTTTTTGGTACGCATGCTATATTATGGAATTGCATGACAAGAAGTTTTAATGAATGCAAATTCTATAGCTAGTTTTTTTGGTCAACCCGAAAATTTATCATTAGCACTGTTGAACACAAAAAAACCTCTTTTTCGTCCCTTGACTATAACAAAATCAGTTTTTTTTCTGAATTAAACTTTTGCTGAAAAGTATAGTACATCAATGTTTTTACAGTTTTATAAAGGCAAACTACTGATTTTATCTAGATAAATCACCAATAAATTTTAAGTAAATCAGTTTTTTTTTCTGAGTATATTGCCATTTGACTTGATATGATTAGTCAATTTTGATTTTTTCTGATCAATTTTGATTTTTTCACCAATTCAACCGTTTTTGTCAGAAAGTATTATTTGAAAGAAACACAGCATAGTTCCTACTAAAATTTTAAATGCCTATAATATGAACAAGTTCTGAAAAATTTTATTTGCTTATATTGGAGAAATTATATTTTTTCAAGGTTTTTTTTTCGTTAACTGCAATATAGAAACAAATTTAACCTTTTTGAGATAAATTAATGTGTTTGTGATTAAAAAAAAATTTTAAACAACGGAAACTCTAAGCATAATTTGCAAGAAGTTCTATAATAGTGGAACTTTTGTAGGATATTTTTTTGGACGCACTAGTCAACCCCCTAAAAAGTCTTTCATGTATGTATTCAATAATTTCAAAAAAGTCGACAAATTGCCAATTAGTTTCATTTGCATGGATTGAGTAAATAAATACTATGGAAAGGGCCAGTGATGCTGCAAAATATGGTCTCGGCAACCATGAGAAAAGCATTTAAAAACATCACAGCATAGCATTATGGTTCAAACATTTGAAGGTAGCTAATAAGATATATGCTTTTGATTCAGAGCATTTTGAGGGTTTGATTACTCGGGGCTCAATTTCTGGTCCTACGTGGCACCGCCGGACGCGCACACATCTATAGTAGCCTGACTGTCTGGTTAATTTAAAACGAGACTACCTAAGTTGCTCGTTTTTATTTCAAAGCCGATAGTGAAACCTGAATTGCTCGTTTTATTCAAAGCCGATAGTGAAGCCGGGTGACTTATTCCGCAATGCAAAAAAGTCAAGCTTAGTAAGCCTAATATTTTTAATTACTTGATTTTTAAAACATTGAATTAACAAACATCGACACCAATAACACTGAATGACAGTAACGAACTTTCAGTTTCTCCCTCGTCTTCCTTCCAATCCATTTTGCTATATTTTTGCAAAATTTGCTTAATCAAAACTTTTTCAAAGCACTAATATTTTTTCAATTGAAGTGCTTTTCGCTCAATTTTACTTTTTTTCAATTTTTTCAATAATTATAAATAAATCAATGTTTTTAGGAAAAACACTGATTTTATCTAAATAAATCACCAACAAATTTTGAAAAAATCAATGCTCTTAGGATAATCACTGATATTAGAAAATTTAATGAAAACTGACAAAAGCGACAAAGTGATAAGATTTGAGTTGGATGCTTTTCACCCAGTGGGTGTATTCGACAAAATTCTTAGTTATTTTGATATCATCACTTCGGACAAAAAAAACAAATACGTTTAACAAAACTCAAATTTTTCAAACTCTTATATAAAGTGCAAAATGCTCATTCAATTATCATAAAAATTATTTTTTGGTACGTATGCTATATTATGGAATTGCATGACAAGAAGTTTTAATGTATGCAAATTCTATAGCTAGTTTTTTTGGTCAACCCGAAAATTTATCATTAGCACTGTTGAACACAAAAAAGCCTCCTTTTTGTCTCTTGACTATAACAAAATCAGTTTTTTTCTGAATTGAATTTTTGCTGAAAAGTATAGAAGTATGGTTAAATTTTTTGCAAATTTTTTGTCAAGAAAACATTTTGCAACAATCTGTTTAAGCCAAAGGAAAAACTCAAGGAATTGTTCAATGTCGAGCAATTCAGATGCAACTCGAAACAGTTTGAAAAATATCAAGTTTGTAACTAAGAGCAACATCGTAGTTGAAGACTACATTACTGGTGAACCCTCAATGTCAGTGCGACTTTGGATCTGTAATTCAGTCACAAAAACCTCTTCATATATCCAGCGATTAGTTTCCAGAATCCGATTGTTCGTTTATGCTTGGTCATATAAAAAATGTCAACAAAAGAGCTGCATCGTAATATTTTTTTATATACCAACTTAAAATAGTGAAACCAAAAAATTATCTCAACGAGACAAAATAAAGTGTTTTCTTCATCAGTGCAAAGCTTAATGGCTCAAAATCAAAATAATCAACCTGCACTAAAAGACAAGC